GTTCGCCTGCGTACCAGGAAAGTAGAGTAGCAGATGGTTCTTGCCCTAAGAGGAAAAAAGGGATGATTAGGGTTTTAGAATTTAATGGGAAATATGGGAATAGCATAGTCGATGATCGAACTTGCCTTTATCGACTCTTCAAATCACTTCTGATCAGCTTCTTGGAACGAGTTGGAATGCCTCCTTGACTTCTCGACTTCTTTGTTCAATATCTCTCAATGGTGATTTAATATAAGGTGAGATTGAGTGAATCTCTCTCAATTGGTATAGCTTTCCGTTTTTGGGTGGGAGACAAAGTGGAGAAGAGGAGACGTTCCTCTCTAAAAAACGAAGCAGCAGAGAGTGGCGCACGAACACACCAATGTTTTTTGGAGGGAAATTTTGTTATTAAGCCGGTCCAAGAAAATTTCATGACCGATCGGTTCAATGTTTTAAAACCGCCGGCTTAATTGATTGAACCGCCGCCCTGTTTTCTATTGATCGGTGGTTTGATCCAACCTTGGCGCTTATGCTAAAATCGCCAGTATACATGGGTCTACCCCGGCATTTTGTATAAACGCCGGTTTAAAAATGCCGGCTTAGCCGTTTTTTCTTGTAGTGTTTTTTTGGATTTTTTGGTAAGAGAGTTCAAACTTGATTGGTATGTGAATATAGGAAATTACAAGTTGTAGATTTTGAGTCTACCCAATTGGCCATCCACAAGTAAGGGTGCCCACGGGTCGGTTCGAGTCATTTTCTTTAACCGATCTAACCTAGTCGGTTTACTTATTGAGTAAACCAAAATTGACCAATCCTGAAGCAAAATTGACTCAAACATGAAGGGTAATTTTATCGGTTTAGTCGGTTTATATTACAATTAAAATAATTAATTTTAAACAGTCCAATGTGAACACACCTGGTTAGTTTGGCTCCAACACTCCAAGAGGCAACATGCAACAATTGAAGACTCCAACTCCAAGTAAGTATCCAACATACTAGTATTTATTTAGCCTCTATTTTTTTTTTTTTATCTTTCCAGAACTAAAGAGTGAAGAGCCCAACAGTCCCAACTCCTAACGTGTTTGTCCATTCCAAGACTCCTTGACAACAATGGTTGCTTGTTATGGATTAGATATTTGGATCTCATCCATTCTAATTTAATTTAAAAAATAACATATTAAAGGAAAATTAAAACATAACAATTTAAA